CCTGAATTCAAATGCCAGTCCCACAAAAAAAAAAAAAAATTTTTTTGTTTGGGGCACTAACTAAATGGCCTTGTGAGAGCCGTCAAGTGGTTCTCCCTGGGGCAGAGCTTGGTTTAACTTACTCTGCCTGGGCTATACCCAAAGTACTTGGAGCTCATGTTAGCATAGTTATCCTAACTCCTGTGGGTTTTTTGTCTGCAAAGCATCTTCAGGTCTATTATGTCATCAGATCCTCTCAACAACTCTCTCATTAGCATAACAGGTTCTACTGTTACTGTTTTTGTGTGAGAAGATTGTGGCTTAAAAAGTGAAGTGATTTACCTAAGATCTCACAGCTGTGAGGTAACAAGTCCAGACTTAAAATCAGATCTTCTGACTATGAATCCAACTTTCTTTCATGTGACTTATTGTTAGAAAGTTCTTTATTATGTTCATTCAAATCTCTCTCCTTAATAGCTGTCCTCCCAAAAACGTACTTCAGGGTACTCTCTGCACCACAGTACATTGAAGTAGATTTAGAATGAAACTAAACATGACTGGAAGTACAGCTCATTAGTAGAGTGCTTGCCTGGCATGCACAATGGTCTGAGTTTGATCTCCATCACCTCAAAAAATAAAGATAAAAATAAAACAAGGTGGGTATGGTTATATACATCTGTAATCCAAGCACTCAGGAGGCTAAAGCAGGAGGATTTCAAGTTCAAGGCCAGCCTGGGCCATAGAGGGAAACCCTATTATCTTTTTTTTTTTTTTGGTAGGACTGGGGTTTGAACTCAGGGTTCATGCTTGCAAAGCAGGCACTCTACCACTTGAGCCACAACTCCTCCAGGAGACCCTGTTTTAAAATGAATAAATAAGCCAATACTGGTAGCTTGTACCTAGCTACTCAGAGGTAGAGATCAGGAGGATCACAGTTTAAAGTCAGGCCCAGTCAAATAGTTTGCTAGACCATAGCTGGGCTGGTGGAATGGCTTAATGTAGAATGCCTGCCTAGCAAGCATGAGACCCTGAGTTCAAACCCCAGTACCATAAATTATTAAATAAATAAAATGACTATAAAAATAAATACCAAAATCCTAAAAAAAAAAAAAGTATTTCTTGAGTTCTTACTGTGTAGAAGGTCTTCTGCAGACATCATTATCTCATTAGAATTGCGTTGTAACCTTGAGGGCCAGATAACATTGTCATCATTTTACAGATGGGAAAACTGATGTTCTAGGAGAGTAAGCAGTGGCTGAGGACAGCAAAGATATTTTTTCTGTACTGGGTTTGAACTCAGGCTCTTGCACTTGCTAGTTAGGCATTCTCACCTGAGCCATGCCTCCAGCACTTTTTGCTGTAGTTATTTTTTGGATAGGGTCTCCTGTTTATGCCTGGGCAGGCCTTGACCTTGATTCCCCTGTTTACCCTTCCTGAGTAGCTGGGATGCATCATCCACCCAGCTTTTAATGGTTGAGATGGGGTCTCTCAAACTTTTAAAACTTTTTGTCCATGCTAGCCTTGAACTTTATCCTCCCCATTTCTGCTTCCCAAGCAGTGGAATTATGCTTGATGGAAATTTTTTTGTTTTGTTTTGTTTTACAAGTCACGAGAGCCAAAAACCCAGGTCTTCATTACTTCTCTCATTTCCTCTTGTTTCTTTCTTGCTCACTCTTCTCTTTTTTTTTTTTTTGTGAGACTGGGGTTTGAACTCAGGGCTTCACATTTGCTGCTTGCTCTTCTCAAATGCACTGGTCTCTCAGCTGTTTCTCAGACATGCCAGGTATACTCCCTCCCATTTCAGGGCTTTTACACTTACTGCCTCAGATATCTTTTCACCCAGATACCTTTATGGTTTACCTTTACCTCCTTCAGGTCTTCACACAAATATCACCTTAGTGTGGCCTTCCCTAACTACCTTTATTTAAAATTAACACCCCTCTCCTAACACACAAATATGTGGACATAAGTACTCCTTAATCTCCTTTAGTGCTTTATTTTTCTCTGTAGCACTTCTCACCATCTGGAAAACCATGAGTTTTATTTTTTGGCTGTATTGTCTGTCTTGCTCTTATTAGCTCCTGTTGATTGAATGACTTTTTTTTCTATATCATAGCCCCACTCCTATTTTGAAAGCACGAAAACTTTTTTTTTTTTTTTGCAGTACTGGGGCTTGAACTCAGGCCTGCACCTTGAGCCACTCTGACAGCGCTTTTTTGTAATGGGCTTTTTTGAGATAGGGTCTCACACACTATTTGCCCGGGCTGGTTTCGAACCGCTATCCTCCTGATCTCTGCCTCCTGGTAGCTAGGATTACAGGTATGAGCCACTAGCACTGGTTGAAGACTTTTAAGTTACATATATTTATTTACTCATTGTTTATGTAGGTTTAGTTCATAACCGGGGATAGAGACAGACTCAAAAATTAATAGAGGGTGTGGAGAATGAGTTAGGGATCTCATTCCCAAATCACAGACACATTGATTTTGTGGTCACAGATCACAGGCCCTTGATTTTCCTTATTGGTAAATTGGAGTGGCTGCATGTGCAAGGTGCTTGGTAGCATTGTGGTTCGCATGTTGCTTGGCATCATGGTGACCTGAGGCTCTTGGAGTCTCCATCCAAGGGTCATTAATAATGGAAAGAAAGCTCTCCTGATATAAGGCAGTGGTGCCAACTCCTCGGACTGGTAACTGCTGGATTGCCTCCATCCATTCATGCCCAAGTCATTCTAGTGCCAAAGCCTTTGAGTTTACTAAAAAATCATTCCTCTCCTTAATAGCTTCCCTTTAATTGCCATATTTGGTAAATGGTCTCTTGGAGACACCCTGGTCTGACTGTTTTAGTTGGGCTCAAAGAACCTCCTGATCCCAGAATTGATTTTCTTTGAATCTAGTTCAGTTAAATTTTTTTTTCTTGTTTGTTTTTGTTTTTTTGAGGGGGTTTATTAATATTGCACTTGTGGGGGAACAGTGGGGAGAGTGAACATTAGCTGGGAAGCCTTTGGGTTTTGTCCCCCCAAACTCCTTTTCTCAGTTAATAGTTAGCTGTTTAACCTTGGACAGATTACTTACTCATTCTGGTCTCAGTGCCTTCCACAGTGGGATTAATTTCTCTCCTCTATCGTTCAGCTTCACTGAGTTATTATTATGTGATGCAAAATGAGATGAAAAATAGAATGCCCTATGTAAGGAAAAAGCATTCAGATTATTATTTGGCAGCGACCCCACCAGCAGGCCATGAGTGTGGTGAGGAGCACTATCCTGTAAGAGCCTAGGCCTTAATGTTTCTTGGACTTCCTTCTCCAGAATACTTGAAGACAGAAAGGTGCTTTGCCACAAGTCTAACATGCCTCCATTCAGAAGGGAGGCAGTCTTGATTTTTCAGCCCTGTTTCTAAGGGAATCTGTCGGTCTAAATGTGCTGTTAACATGTTTTTCTGATACTTCCTTTCCCCCTGCAGCTTTCATTCTTCAGTATTGGCATTTACCATTCCTTTCCTTCTTGGTTAGGTGGGTAGATAGTAGGTAACAGGTGGTTTTTTATTTTTATTTATTTGTTTGTTTGTTTTTGTAGTGCTGGGGAGTCAAATCTAGGATCTTGTGCATGCTAGGCAAGTGCTCTACCACTGAGCTACATCCCCAGCCCAGCATGAATTTAGGACTAGATTAGTTAGACCTACTAGCTACATTGAAATCATATATGAATTTATGGTTTTTAAAAATTTTTACTTATTTTTTTGTGGTGCTGAGGCTTGAACTTACAGAGTAGTGTGCATGCTAGACAAGCACTCTACCACTGAATTATACTCCCTAACCCCAGCCCTAGCAGAGTTCTTTTTTTTTTCTTTTTTTTTGTGGGTATTGGTATTTGCCGTTATACAACTTAAGCCATGTCTCCAGCCCCCAACAGTATTCTTATTTTTTTTTAATTTTGTTTTATCGTTTATACATTTAGTTACATGCGTATATATTATTTGAGCCACCTCCCCCACTCCCTTCTAGGCAGAACCTGTACATGGCATTTTTGCTAGTTTTGAGATAAGGATAGCTATACGGGGAGGTTCTTTGTGTTATTTCCATGCACATGTGTATTACAACCCAAATTGGTTCATCTCTACCAGACCTCTTCACTTCTAGGCCCCTTCCCATAGTGGCCTCTGCCAGTTTAAGATTATAGTATTTGTTCCTGTACAGTGAGCACATCAACCACATTCAAGTTTTTGGTTTTCTTCCCTTTCCCCTTAGTGTGAACTGTGTCCAACCCAACAGAATTCTTTATCTGAGAAAGTTTCTGTGATTTTAACTCAGGTTGTAATAGAAACCAATTCAGGACAGTATTGTGTTCCAGGTATACAAAAGATTGTATTCTTTTTAGACTTATTCCCTTTTCTGGAAACATTTTAGCTCTGTGTCACAAGGAACATTATATTTTCCCAAGCTGGTGACTTTGGAAAGGGGTTGTCTTCAGAGCGATGGACTTCCTCCCTTCCCCATGGACTGGCCCCTGGGCCCTCTGCTCTCCTGGGAGACTTGAGAATACATATAGCTTAATTCTTAAGTCAGGACATTCTAAGGTGTGAGGAAGCCATTTGTCACACCTGCTAACACACAGGAGCTAGTTTAAAATGTCTGCTTCGGGTCCATCTTTTATAAAATCAAGTGAGTGACTACTACTCCCATACCAGATTCAGGTGGCTAAGTATATGATTGGCAGCTATGGTGGAGGCTTGGGTTGGCAAAAGCCCACTTTGGCATATTGGAAGAGTGACTGCCCAGTGTATGAAGTGCCATTTACAGCCTGTTTTGCAGTGGATCTGGCTGCGGTCCTCTCATGTTGACCTTAGGGGGCCAAATTCCCTAGCTTTACAATAGGGAATGATGTTCTTTCCTTACAGACACAGACAACCAGGAGACTTTTCTTGACAATTGCATCAAGGCCAATTCAGACTCTGACCATACCTTCTCAACCTTTTCATTTGTGCTGCTTGGTCCTGATTGCCTTTTGAATCTCTTTTAGAGCTCTGAGCTCTTCACTCTGACCTATGGAGCTCTTGTCACCCAGCTGTGCAAGGACTATGAAAATGATGAAGATGTGAATAAGCAGCTGGACAAAATGTGAGTGAGTGCTTGTGAAGGAGAGGCAGGAGTGGGACTCCCCAGCACTCTGAGTGTACATTGTCCTTTAGAGCCCTGGACAGGCTCCTCTCTCTTATAGCCAGCATTTGGGGTACAGTTTCCACTGAGCTCATTTATTAGGATGTTATTGAGATTATCCCTATTTTATCTTTACCAACAATAGCCTTACGTTCAGACATAACAAATTTAGATCCTCTAATGGTTTTTCTCTAATTTCCTTCCCAGGGGCTATAACATTGGAGTCCGACTGATTGAAGATTTTTTGGCACGGTCAAATGTCGGGAGATGCCATGACTTTCGGGAAACTGCAGATGTCATTGCCAAGGTCATTATTCTAGGCTACCTGGACATGCTGAAGGATTGCTATTGGGAGGCACTTACCACTCCTTACATCTTTCTTAGAGGCTCTTAATCTTCCAAAATACTGACTAGGCAGCTATTAGGACAAAGAAGCCTTGCTGATGGTTTGGGAACAGTAAATTATGAGAAAATAAAGAGTGCAGATTAAAGCCCCACTGAAATTAAAGCCAGATCTCCACTGAGAAGGTGTAGCAGAGTAGCATGGGGGTTAAGAACATAGACGGTGGACTAAGTCAAACCTGGTTTCAAGGTTAGGCTCCAATACTTACTATTTCTGAGTTCTTAGTAAGTTACTTTTAATCTCTTAGATTACCAGTTACCTCACGTTTGAAATGAGTAGAATAAGAGCTGCCTCACAGTGCTGCAGGAATGAAGGAATGATGATGAACGTGGGCATTCCCATGGAATGACTGCCCTGAGTTCACACCCCAGTGCTGCCCAAAAACACACTTTCTGTAGTATATAATGTAGTGCATGTAGTAAATATTCGTATTAGTATTAGTGCTATATATTGTAGTATTAATAAATGGCGTAACACCTGTAGCTCTGTGATGTCATTTACCTAAAGGATGGTTCCTTCAGATGTAAGCATGTAGTCATACCTAGATCCAAAAGAGGGCTGAGAGTGAGCTTTGTGAGGGTTGGAAGTAGGAGGTGGATTGGGAGGATGCCTTATGAGTAATTCTGCCTCACTGACTATATTCACTTTCAAGTCTGTGTGTCCAGGTAGCACAAAGGACAGCAAAGGGAGTTAGGGCCTCCCTGCTCATGCTGGTTGAGGGCAGTGCTCCCTTCCACTAAGTGTAGGCAGATAGTGAGTTGTTGCTTAATTGTATGATGCCTTGGAGGAGAGGGCCTAGAATTGTGTGCAGATGCTTCTTTTTCCTTTGAATACCCAAAGCTTCATTGGCCTTTCAGAGGTCAATTTTTTGTTCCAGAGCTACTTCTTTCCCTCCTGTCACCTTCCTTACTGTACAGTTTCTGTTGCCCTTCCCCAGTGCTATGGTGTGTCCCCTGACAGGTGGCGTTCAAGATGTACCTGGGTATCACTCCAAGCATCACTAATTGGAGTCCAGCTGGTGACGAATTCTCCCTCATTTTGGAAAATAACCCTTTGGTGGACTTTGTGGAACTTCCTGATAACCACTCATCCCTTATTTATTCCAATCTCTTGTGTGGGGTGTTACGGGGAGCCTTGGAGATGGTGAGTGCAGTTTTTACTTTTTGAAACATCTGAACTGTAGTAGGGCTTGGTAAATATTTGAGTACATAAGAAAAAAAGGCTTTGGCTCTCCCCAGCCCTTTCCTGCCTGAATGGTGGTGTTGCTGAGATAAGATCTCAGTCAGATATCTCTCCGTGGTGATGATCCTTCCCTACTAGGCTGAGAAGTGGTGCTGTCAGCTACTGCAGCCTAGGACCATTCCCAGATAGACTTACTTGGTGACAGTCCCATTCTTGAGTTTTTTTATAAATTGGGATCACTGTCTTCTGCAGTGGAACATTGGAGTTGGCAGTCCTGTCTTTGTGGGAAACCAAACCCTTTTTTTTTTTTTTTTGACTGCTATGAGTGTGTCAGTTATAGCCTCATTCCTGATGACTCCCCAGAGTCTGTGGCTAGGTATCTGCCCCTTCATTTTTCCACTTCCCCTAGGTCCAGATGGCTGTGGAGGCCAAGTTTGTCCAGGATACCCTGAAAGGAGATGGTGTGACAGAAATCCGAATGAGGTTCATCAGACGGATTGAAGACAATCTCCCAGCTGGAGAAGAATGACCATCCCCAGGACTTGTGGGTAGCCAGCAGGAGCATTTGCTGGAATCAGAAAGGCTCCATCCACCAGTTGCTCCCTGGAACTCAGTGACTCTTCAGTGTGGATGTTATATATTCTTTGTTTCCATTCTCCATGCTAATAAAGAGCAGACTGATACAGTCCATTTATCCCACAAGTATGCACATTCAGAAGGGAAATTCTTTGCTCCCTTTCCCTTCAAAGGGGCTGAATATAATTGTCCTTGGTTGGACTAGAAAGAGCTCAAACCATTTTACATTCCTGTGAATTTTCCAATGCAAAACCCACTTTGACCCCATTAAGAGACAAGCCTGGCACATCTATTCCTAGGCCTTCATAAAGCCATTGGCAAATGGCTGTAGGGAATATGGGGTCGTGGGGGGAGGCAGGAGGGCTGGGAGGTAGAAATTGCTAGCCGTAGCGTGACATGCTGTAGTGCCTGCCAGGAAATGGGGGCCAGTTATGCTGGAAACACCGACTTCTGGGAAGCCACCCAGGTCTCATTCCTCCCTGCTGTTTGGAGGCAACATCTCCTCTTTTTACAGAGGGTCCATCCTTTTTCTTACAAATTCTTCAATAAAGACACATTCTTGAGTGAAATCCTGATCATGTCCTGTTTTGTTTTGTTTTGTTTCTGCTCAACCATGGAGGCTTGACTAGGAAGACCATGAAAACTCCAGTACTGGGTGCTACTTACTTGCCACATGACACACTCTGGATTGAACTCTTGCATGATCTAGTTAACAATTCCATTTTCAGAGTGGAGTTGAAAGTTGCCCAAAGTCATAAAGCCATAAAGTGGAGACACTGGGGATCAAAGCCATGCTTTTGATGGTGGTGCTCTTCTGAAGCCTGGTTAGCACTTAGGGGAAAAGGGGAGCAGGCCTGCAGCTTCCTCTCTCAGCCTTACAGTGCTTGGGATAGCTTTTAAAGGGAGGAAGCAGAGGTTGTTTCTGGCTGTATTTAATAACAACTTCTTGCGGACAGTTGACTTCAAAAAGTTTTTGGAAAGAAACTGGACTCTAGAGCTTGCCCAAAGCCTGAATTGAGGGGAGCTAATCATGGGTATATTATGCTTAAAGTGTAGCTTGGTTGTGTGAGGGTAGGACCAGGGTTCTGAGACCCCAGTAAGGGGGCAGTTAGCACAGTACTTACCTCCAGGTGAGGGAGACCACTGAGGAGGGATAATCAACTTTATGTCTCCAAGTACAGGCAGGCTCATCTTCTATGATCCCATCCTTCTCTGAGTCACTTTACTTCTCCTTCCACATATAATTTGGGACCCCATGGTGGGCCCTCTGTGTTGTACAACTATTTTCTTAGCACTCTGTGTAAAGGTCCAGTCACACTAGAATTAAATGTATGAATTAAAGAGGATGAAGAAACGAATGTTGGGTCCAAATATGGAAAGCTCTGTGTAGTGTTTGAACCCTATCAAGAAAAAGGTCACCCTTAGGAGGGGAAGGTTGCCTTTCCTCTCCTCCCTGTGCCACGTTCTACTTTCTAGTGGCCATTTGGGTGATGAGATTTTAGATATTTCCAGAGTTAAACTTGTGCAACATTACAGGGTTGGTGAGCTGTGAAAACAAGGCCCTCCCTTGTGGCTTTTCCCACCTACAGTCCCACGATGTGGGATGAGGGAAGGAAAAGGGCTGGGGCTACAGAGCTATTACAGGCATCATCTCATCTTTCCAAATAAGCTAAACAGTCTCCAGCAACCTAAAGTCCTGTCTCCCATGCTCATACCTGTAGTTGATGGGTTGTAGCTTATGCATCCTTTGGCCTTACTGTGACTATGAGACTGAGCCAGCCATCCACTTTCCCTGATACTACCCACACACTCCCAACAAGAGGGGGCAGGATTGCTGGGCTGATACAGGAGATGCTGACTAGTGAAAAGGTTTCCAGGGAGCCTAACTGAAGGCAGAGTTCTGAGGCTAAAGGAACCCATGCTGGTGGCCTTTGGACCTGGGGATGGCTGGGCAGAGCTTTGGAAAAGACCTTGCTCTGCAGCCTTTGGCCACTAGGGGTCTCCAGATCACTACCCTACTGTTCCTCTCAAAAAGTGATCATTGGACTCCTAGCTTTCAGAATTTGCTAGAATATGCACCTGATGAGTAAATCACAGAGGCTAGCCAGAGCCTGGAAGGGTCCCCCTTCTCTAGTCATCTCCACAAGACCTGAAAGCAAGGCTCACAAGGCTGCCAGGCTACTGCCTGGCTACTGAACTCAGGGCATTAGAAGAGTGCATTTGCCAAGGATGTCTGGCCCATTCACACACCAAACTCTCATGCTGGCCTCCTGAGTTGTACAAACCAGCTCTGAGCCCTCCCCTAACCATCCCTCCTTACTTTCTGAGTGGAGTCCAGGGCCCCATCCCCAGCCTACTGATGTAACAGCCCCCTTCCTGCCCCAGATCCCCAACCCCAGTGAAGTTTCCATATTCCGATTACACCTTCTCCTTGGAGGTTGGCCTCCCCTGAGTTTGTACTGGGCATCCAGGTCCAAGAAGCAGTGGCAACAGAGGCCCCAGGACCTAAAATCGCATTAAGTGAAATTAAAATAGTCTCCTAACAAGAAGTCCATTGTGGCTGGTGGGAGGTGGGGTGCAGGAAAAGCATCCTCCATCCTCCAGGGCTTAAGTGCTACCATGTGCTGTTCCCTAGAAGCCAAAGGCTGGTGGGAGGAGAGCTGCGGAGGGGAGGTGGTGGCAGGCGAGGAGACGCACTGTTACAGATCCTAAGCCTTTGATGTAGGGCCAGGCCCGACCCCAGGACAGCTGCTGGCCATTGCCATGGGAGCCATGGGACACAGCACATTCCTGGGGGCAATTTACACTCTGGCAGGAGAGAGGAAGGTTTCTACTGTGGGGAAAGGGGTGGGGGTCACTGCAGCAGAGGTTGGGGGTAGGTGTTGTAAGTTGCACAGCAGGGAACCAAGGCATAGGGCAGCATCCTCTTGCTTAGACTGGGCTGCCTTACCTAGCTCTGGTGGAGAAGCCCTCCTCCAAGAAGATTTCCCTGATAAAGCCCAGAGCTGGCAAACAGCAGTGCTCTCTCACCCAGGGGTATGCAGGAAAGCAGCTGCTCTTTCCTTTCAGCTGGCTCTGCCAGGACTGTCAGCTACAAGGGCATCTCCACTGAGCTAGACTACAGGAGGGCTGGCAGGACAGTGCACACAGGCAGAGGAGCACAATGATGCGGACAAATGTTATCCACAGCAGTAACTACTGTGTGTCTCAGGGCAGCTGTGCGCAGGGCAAGCCTAAGCACTTCACATGCACTTCTCACTGAGCAGCCACCACGACGCTCCACCATTCCCATTTTGCAAGTGAGGAAACCGAGGTGTGCAGCCTGTACATGGTAGATTAAGGACTTGAACCTGAATAGTCAAGACTCGAACACCTAGCTCTATCCAGTACGTCACATGTTACAGATTCATGTTTTTGCATTTCACTGGGTGTGTTTCCTTGTGTTCTTTGGAAGCATGTCTGGTGTGAATTCTTTATTTTTTTTAATTTTTAAATTTTTTTTGGTGAGATTGGGATTTGAACTCAGGGTTTTGCACTTGCAAAGCAGGAGCTCTACCACTTGAGTCACACCTCCAGTCCTGTGAATTCTTTAATTTGGCAAAAATATAGACCTGTGGGAGGGGCTGGGGACATGGAGATGACCTAGACTCCACAATCCCTGCTAGGAGCTTCAGTGCATGGAGAAGTAGCCGACTGTGAGGTGGGGGAGGAGAAGAGAGGTTGAAAATGAGGGACAAGCAAATCCTGGCTCTCCTACTTAGCTATATGGCACTGAACAAATTATTTGAATGCTGAGCCTCAGTTTTTTCATCTGGAATATGGGAACAATTATGCTTCCCTTGCTGGCTGTTTTGGGCACATACTGGGCATTCCCTAATTGTCAGTTAGTTGCAAAACTGTGTGGATATGTGAGTGTCTGAGTGTGTGGGGATGGTAGTTTTGTGAAGTCAGAGATGTATCCCAAGCATCTATTACAGCTTTTCAGCACAAAGTAGGTGCTCAGTAATGTTTACTGACGGGGTGTTGACTGAGCATTAGTATGGGGTGGGGAGGGCCCATAGAAATGGGGGCGTGTGCGCAGGGCCACAGGACCAACTACATACTCTGGGGGGCTAGTGCAAAATTAAAATGAGGAGTCATTTGTTGAGAAATTGTTCTGATTTTCAAGATGACTAGCAGAGCAATAAACCAAGCCCTTGTGAGTGAAGAGCCCTGTACAACTCCCATGAAGCCAGCCCGTCCTCCCTGTATCTGTAGGGCCATCACCACCCTCCAGCCCTGCCCCAGAACAATGGTCTAGTTGTTGGGGAGATTATAAGGCTGCTCTAGGGAAGGTGAAGAGAGGGCGGGTTGCTCAGTGTGCAAGGCCAGGAAAATGCAGAGACCATCAGATCATTACCCCAGCAATCCCCTCCAGAGCCAGGCCAGTCCTGAGAGCAGCCCTCTGCCTTACATTCCCCCCAAGATCTCACCCCCCACCCACTGGCCACTGGGTGGTCTGGGCACATGTGGTCACATTTAGATGTTGATTGAAGCAAAATTGTTATAAGATTAGAATAGTTAAGGTAACTTTAATTTCCACTGCATTACTGGGATTTTTGAAGATTGAGCTGAGGGATCCCCTGGGGTGGAAGTGAGGAAAATGGTGGGGGTTGCAGAAAGGGTTTCCATTTCACCAGATCTGGAGGAGATGCCCCTAGCAACCAAAATGGAGGAAGGGGGTCGGCTAGACAGAGGGAAGGACTTCCCAGGGATCTCAGAACTAGGAGTCCAGTCCTCTAGCAGATGTGGGAGTCAGGGGTGGGCCCTGGTGAAGCAGGAATTTATCAGCACCACACCCTGCCCCCAGACTATTTGCATGCCCTGGCCACACATCTGTGCAAACATCCCTCCCCTCCACTTGCCAGACAGAAGTGTGACCAGGGGAAGGTCCCATCCAGGTCCTCTCTGGGTACCAACTGGGGTGGCTGGAGCCAGAGAGTTTTCCTTATTGATAGAACAAGATAGAAATTTAGAAGGAATGGGAGAATAATGGTAACAGTAATAAGGATTACGAACATACTATTATTAAATGTTAGTAGTAATGGTTACTGACATTTATTATTATTCAAAGCTTGATTATTTTTGAGCCATTACTATGTGCCAGGCTTATATTAAGCTTTTTATTATTCTTTGTCTGGCTTAAACGGCGTTTATTTCTCACGGTTATGGAGGCTGGAAGTCTGAGATCAGGGCGGCAGCATGATTGAGTTCTTGGTGGAGACCTCCTTCCTGGTTTACCAATGGTTTTATCCTTGCATTCTCACATGGTGGAGACTCACTGCCTCTTCTAAGAGACCGGATAGCACAGTGCTAACGGGGAAGATTTGGGGAGCCAGCCTGCCTGAAGTCAAATCCTGGCTCACTCACTTCCTAAGTGTGTGACTAACAGAGCCTCAGTTTTCCATCTACAAAGTGGGGACAATAATAATACAAATTTCAAAGAGTCAGTGTAGTGATTAAATGAATTCATCCCTATAAAGTTAGTTCAAGCTGGGCGCTGGTTCCTCATGCCTATAATCCTAGCTACTCAGGAGGC